AAATGAAAATGGAAACTTTAGACACAATATAGACACTATAAAAACATGCATCAAAATAAATATGACTAGTGAAAAAAGGCTGTGTCAAACAATGGCAAATTTTGCTTTCTACTTTCTATTTAACAGCAAGGCTGAACAGCAGGTTTTTTTGAAAATGCTATATATCCATTTGTAACAAGAAGAGGTTTGAAATTAATAAAATATGATGTATAAATCACTTTTAAAAAATCAAATAAAGGTGTCTATATTAATTATTATATGGCATTGATTGTACGTGTAAAGCCCAGTCCCAATCATAACCATGTATCATAAAATAAAAAGATTCATGAAAATGGTGTTTGTGTCTTAAAATATATATATATATATATATATATATATATATATATATATATATATATATATATATATATATATATATGTGTGTGTGTGTGTGTAATATTGACATCTATAGTATGTTTTTGATGAATCAGTAAATTCAGTGAATTCCTTCATTATTTATTTTGAGCCATTTAACTGTTATTAGGGCTTCACCAATAAGTTAATCATGGGCCCAAATACAAGCACTGCTGGTGCTGGTATCAATGCAGAGACATAAACATTTGTAAACTGCAGAGACTGGGATTAAATCTACATGATTTAACATTCAGAAAATGTAACATTTATTTTCTTTAGTGTTAGAAATGCAGAGAATAAAGTAAATAAAGCAAATATCTGCCAATACTGTGATTCCGATATCATAACGCAGCCCGATTTGTACTACTGTGTTAAAACTAACCCAATAAACTAGTATTTTACCTTGACTAGCCTGCACTGTAAATTTATATGTGCTTCAAAACAGAGCTATATTACAGCCACCAAAAGGGTGATTAAAATTATATATTGTAATTATGAATTCTGAGACTCATGCACAAAATTTAATACTTGAAAACAGCAGTGCTGGGTGGCACAGACCAAATATAATAGCACAATGTTGTCTAAATTTAAGACCAGTATCAGTGTAGCAGAGGTTTATGAGCTACGGTCCATTCATAAATTCTGCTCCGAATTACTCTGCTAAATCATGGGCTTAATGCCCTAAAGACTGATTATGGTTCACAGTCATAAGCTTAGCACCCTAAAGACTAATTACAGAGTGCTCGATTGTATCAATTACAAATAACAGAAGCTGGGGAGATGGCGAAGCTCACAGAGGAAGCACAGCAAAACACACACATGCACAGATCTTTCAGATTAGAAGCCATCTCTCTATGCGATAATAACAGCTCACACAATCAAGTCTTAACCTCAAAGGCTACCAACAGCACCACTATTAGCATTATTCCCATGAAGATCTCCACATCACAGTGTTCACACACTGAAGATTTTATTCTTCCTCACAGACAGCACTACATTACTTACTTTTACAACTAAATCATTAAACATGAGGAAACAAATGGTTTTAAATTACTATAATCATCTGTAATGAAAGCTTTTATCTCAGTAAGGGTAAGAGAAGAGAAAAAACGCAATGTATATTCAATATATTTTAAATACATTACATTTTATCATTGTGGTTATGACTTTTCCTTTCCCTGCTGATAATTCAAAAGTTCTCTACTCATCTAGTGGTCCATACCAAATATACTGTCAAACGTATACAATGTACAATAGCGATGGCACTGACTCTATAACTGGTATCAGTATCAGTCCGATATCAACGGAAAATCAAGTGAATTCGTTCCAGTATTGTATGACAGGCTACTTCTCAATGTTGGAAATTCTCTACTCATCTAGTGGTCCATACAAAATATACTGTCAAACGTATACAATGGACAATAGCGATGGCACTGATTCTATAACTGGTATCAGTATCAGTCCGATATCAGCGGAAAATCAAGTGGATTCGTTCCAGTATTGCTTGACAGGCTACTTTTCAATGTTCATCTTGAGTGAAGTGCTTCTATTAAAATTAGTTCATTTTGAAGTAGCAGATTTAAGAAAAAAAAAAAGAAAGAGAGGTCAGTGTCAATATTGGTCCTTCCTTAAGGTTTCAATAATGGTTTCTGAAAAGAAACAGTGGTGTTCTGTCATTCAGTAGTACAATACATGAAGAGTTTATTCCAAAATGGTACCAGTTTTTTGAAGAATAAGGGCTGTATAATAGAAAACATATGTTTAAACGTAGCATTATTCATAATCATTGATATTTGTTGTGTATGTGAAGCCCACTCTCAACCGTGTATAGCATTAAAGGAAATTCTTAAAAGTGGTTTATTATGCATTTTGGAACAAAATCCTTCTGTCTGAATTTTGGACTACATGAGCAACATACTACAATGTATACAATTTCCATTTGGGTATACATGCCTCTTTTATTTTATTGTTAAAGCTTTCACAGTAAAAAGCACTTTGTAGCTCAAGTGAAAGTCAAAGAACAGCGCAAACCCATTATTAACCAACAGGGTGCAGCCATACAGGCCCTAGAACCAAGTGAGGTAAACTCCATTTGAAAAATAAGCTACGCTGCATTTCCACATAGCCACTTCCACAACCTCATTCTCTGGCCATCTGAGGCCAGGCCACAGGGGCCTTCAAGTAAAAGAGGACAGGCCTTAAGTAGTTCAAAGCCTGCTGTCTCTCAGCAAGCTGTTTTTTGCTTTAAATCAGAAGATTCTCTAACACGGCCACTCTAGTCTTTATGTCTAGTTGATATTTTCTTCCTCTTACCATTTTATTTTTAGGCCTTGTGTGCCAAACTGTGTCATAACGTCTTTCCCTTCCACCAACATTTCTACAGATGACTAATATGTTTCATGGAACAGTTGAGCCTTTTCACATATCGTAAAATGTACAAGCAGGAACTGCAAAGTCCAAACGAGATCATTTCAACTAGCCTGGGTGGCCCAGAAAGCAAATACCATATGAAGTAATCAGGCCATAAAACTGCTCTCTCTGTGTAGAAAAATCAACCCTGTGTACCACTCAAGCTTAGAGGAACAACCGGCAGAGAAAGGCCAGCCTAAAAGCCATGTTCAGCCTACACAGGACCTGGTGCCCAAATTCCACACAAATTGTATGCTCTTTGATGGCCACAATTGCTTGGTCCAGCCCAAGCTTCTAACCAGAAAGTGATCTTGGCAGGGGCAAAACAGTAGCTGAAAGGAAGAGAACAAAAACAAAAAAGGCATAGCATACAATGCACCAATCCCAGCTGAACACAAGCACAAAAACAGTGCACAAAGAGGCAGTGTAACAGGTGCTTGAGTTGTCATGCTTTGGAAAGAGCTACATTGTATCTACCTAGGCGTGACCACTTGGATGCCAGAAAGAGGTGAAGAGAGGACAGGCATGGGAATTTATAGCTAAGAGAGTTTAAAGAGATGGAGCTGCCACTGATTATTAAAAAAGGATTGGGCTGATTCCATTCTGGCATGCATAGTGTTGATATTAAAGCTGACACACCGGCAAGTCTGAGATTCCCTTGCCATGAATCATCAGGCAAAGATGAGATACATGAACACAGTAATTTTATAGATTTGCCAGCCAAGAGCCAAATACAGATATCTAGAAATAGCAGCCGAACATAGTTGTCTCAGCAAAGAGCTGCTGACTATTTGATAACACCCTATAACAAACATCTAGAACTAGATAACTACAGTTTAGTATAAACTAAAATAGGCCCCAAAGATTTTTTTTTCCCTACAATTTACCACTATTTCACCGTTATCCATATTCAACATCACCTACAAACACTCAGAACACACTTGGAGGTTCACTTGCTATTTTGGATAGTACATGCAATGGCTATATTTGCGTTGTAGACATTGCAACCCCTGGTTCCTATCACCAGCACTGTAAATAAATGTTTGTTTCATATCAAACCACTCTGAATGTGTTGACATCTCAAGCGTTTAATTATGCAGAATTTTTGTCATTTGAACGAAAAAGAAAATAATATATATAACACACACACACACATACATACGTATATATATATATATATATATATATATATATATATATATATATATATATATATATATATATATATATATAAACACTAAGTGCACAAAAGGGTCACCTTTGAAGCTCTTATGAACCCATAAACCACAAAGCAACAGTTTACTCAGTGAAATAAAATGTCACTGGAACTCTGTATGTTAAGGCTGACTATGAAAGCACAGCTCGGAGTCCAACACTTCACACCACATGACTCATCACCTGACCCCAAAAAGCATGAGTTTCTGTTCAATTACAACAGCAATAAACTGTTGTTATAAAACAGAAACTACAAGCCTCTTCAAGGCTTGATAAGACAACAACTGTAACTAAATAGTCTCTCACTTGTCCTGCTATAGGCTTTTAATGGGAAAAGCTTTACGTAAACCTTTAACTGAAGTAAATCTGCTTAAAATGCAGTCTGACCACCACAAGTCAGATTCTGAGTGGAGGGTGTGCAGAAGAGACAGATCAAGACAGGCTGTCCAAGCCAAATCCCATGGCCTGAGTAACAGTTTGATGAGATTGCAAGGTCAATAAGTCTCAAGAATGAGCTAACCCAATAAAACACGGCACAACAGCATGTGAGAGTGTGGCAGTGGTCCACAGAACTATTGTTTTGTCAGGGGCCAAGGGGCTAGTCAGAGAAGCACTGGTAAGTTGTTTCAGTGTTTAGGAAATGTCTGTTCAGATTTAGTCATTTTGTGTGTGGATTTATGATGTGCTTTGATCTGACGGTAAGTGAAACAAAAACCCACATACACTGACTGCATGAGCTCATTTTCTCCTGAAATGGAAAAATTAATCAACTTATGCTGTGAGGACAAGCACTGAGATTCAGATGAAAACTAACTACAAACTAAATACAAACTATTAACATTTTCTGTGATGTGTGAACTGATAAGTGGTGAGCATATTTCTGTAGCAGCATACATCATTTGGAAAATAAAAATCACCAAACATTACTACATGAAAAACATTGCTTTAATAAACCAGATAAGACAGTTAAATGTGTATTTTACCTTCTTTCCTGTGGAGCCAGTTTTGGACAGGCAGGACCGGCCCAGAGAGAGGTAGCCCCCGATTACCTCAATTTCCTCTACTGCTGGGTAGCGCTTTTTTAGCAGGGTGCCCAGCTGAGCATAGGGCGCCTGCGGGGTGGATGGGGAACCCTGGGGCGTTGAGGCAGGTTCCTGGGTTTCGGTTGAGGCAAGCTGGGGCTCGGATCTGCGCTTTGGGACGACCGTAAACGTGTTGCCCTTCCTCCTCTGCACCATGGGGCTGGGGAAGGGCGGTAAGGGCTCCACCACCACGTCATCAATGTTAGTGATGGGCAGCCTATCGGGAGCTTGGGCCTCCTGCGGCGCAGGAGGTGACACAGATTTTGTGGGAGAACCAGGTGAGGGTGTTGTGGAATCGTGAGACAGGGTGGTTAAGCTGAGCCGGGGTGAAGCAGGCTGAGGAAGTTCCGTTTTGGCTGATGATAGCGGGCTTGGGGTCTTTGCTAGCTTTTCTGTGGACAGAGCAGCCGGCAAGGGTGTTGGTGAAGCAGGGGTTGGCACTGTTGGCACCGGAGACAAGACAGGACTGGAGGGTGCCACAGACAGGACAGGGCTGGAGGGCGCCACAGATAAGACAGGGCTGGAGGGCGCCAGAGACATGACAGGGCTGGAGGGCGCCAGAGACATGACAGGGCTGGAGGGCGCCAGAGACTGGACGGGGCTGGAGGGGGCCAGAGACTTGACAGGCCTAGAGGGCGCCAGAGACTGGACGGAGTTGGAGGGCACTGGGGCAGCCCCATGACGCTTAGGGATGACAGTGAAGGAATTGCGAGACTGAAGGCGGAGGTTGGCGAGGGCGCGAGCCTGCAGATCACTAGCAGGCAGGGAGGACAAATCTGGACGAGGGGATGGGCGGATCTCAAAGCTGGGCGACGTGATGGGCTCAGTGATGGCAGCAGGGCTCGGCGACGACTCAGCATGGGCATGGTGGCTCTCTGGAGAGCATGGCACCTTGGCTTTGGACGCCCCATCTGTGCCATCCCAGTCCCGCTCCCTCACTGGCTTGGCTTGGGACCTCTCTGCCTCCTCTCTGGAGTTGACTGTTACGCTACGGCCCCCGCTTGCCTCAAAGCGGCGCCGGAAGGAAGACACTAGCTGTGGAGATCCCGAGACTGGAGTGCTACTGGCTGGCTCACCAGGCGAGTCGTGCAGCTTTGTTTTGGAAGACTGGCTGTTCTGGAAGACTGGTTCCGCCACTACCTGGCTCTGCGATACACAAACGGGTGAGCTTGGCTGTGGACTCGCTGCATACTTTGGCACAACGTCCGGCTGAGCCTTAGGCCGGGGACTGAACCGGGACGGTCCGGTGTCCAGGTCGAGAAGGTTCTCCGAGCTCCGGGATTTCCCTTGTAGCTTGCCATAGTTCCTATCGAACTTCTGAAGCATGCGACTCACCCTGCCCTGTCCTTCAGTCAGATCGGCCAAGTCACCGTCTGGACGTCCCAGCGTGCTCAGGTTCTCCTCGCTCCTGCTGAGTGCCGTGTCGTAAACGACCACCTCTCTCGCGCGGATCTCCGTTACTGGACTACCTCTCCGGTCCAGCAGGTCGTTGAGAGAGCTGTATCCGCTCACTGTGCCGTTCTGCTGCGGTTTGGCCCCATGCTTCAACCCTGCGCCCTCCGGAAAGTAGTCCGGGTCGGACTCAATGATAATGATGTTTTCAGCGCGGATGGTCCGGATGCCCGGGACGCTGCCGTATAGCTCCAGGACGTGCTGCAGCGGACGGGCCGCGTTCTCTCTCTCCCGTCGCTTCTTGCGCTCTTTCTCCAGCTTGATGAACGGGTTCTCCTGCAGCGGCCCCAGACTCTCTCGCAGCACGAGGCTCTCTGGCAGACCGCCGCCGCCGTCATCGTCATCCGTCTCCGTCGCCCGGCCATTGGTATGGGAGGGGGACGGCGACGGCGACGACGACCGCGGCTCTTTTGTCTTCACCGGAGACGTGGCCGGGGACGCGCCGTGATGCCTTGTCTCAGTGCCCGTGGCCTCGTCCTCACTCTTCGAGCCGCTTCGAGCCGTCACCTCGCCGCCCTTAGCCTTCCTCCGCTCCAGCAGCTCCCGCTTCCAGGCCGGCATCCTAGCGCTCTCCTCCTTGCAAAGCACGCCGACGTCCCCGCCGCTCGACATTATGGAGAAGGAGATGCTGGAAGAGGGAGAGGAAGGGGGTTAAAAGGAGCAGAACAGCGGACTGTGAGTGGAACTGTGAGGGTCGCCGCTGGCGTCTGCCTCTTCGCTCCTACGAAGGTTTTCTTCTTCTTAACAGCCCGTCTGCGTCCCGTAAAGGCTTCACAGCACTCCCACTTGCAAAACACGCCTACTGGAGAAACGTCACTGCAACATACTCGCCTTGTAAAAAACCCTTTAGGCTTGTACACTTCTCACATGTTATAGAGCTGGAGCTCAAACCTTCCATGTTGTTTAGACTAACGCTCGGAAACGCAACACCGCTACCTTTACTTCCATTTTTTGTCACGACACTGTGCTAACGAATAGACTCCACCTCTCCCCAGTGCACTGATGCTACAGCTGATTTTGAAGCTCTGGATAGCGAAACCCTAACAAAATGCTAACCGGTGCTAACGGGGCTAACAGTGCCGCATCAACAGAGTGAATGGTAAAATACTAACAACATGCTAACCGGCGCTAGCAAAGCAAAGAAGCCCTTAAACCACCTTCCGGCCATGGAATAGGAGCTCTACAGGTTGGTCTACAAGCCTTACAGTTTTCAAGTGCATGAACCATTTAAATATGCACCACAGCATGCATTTTCTTCCAAAAGTAAAACGTCCAGGACCCTGCAGTCTACACTTTGTTCATAGAAACGCGACCTGCTCCCGGCTGTAGTGACGTTTCTCGAGCAGGCGTGTGTTAGAGCAAGAATAGGCGTGTTTACAACGATACTGGGCGTTTCCCGTAGGGAAGCTGGGCGGGTTTTAGCGAGAGTGGGCGTGTCCCAACAGTCTTGCGGGACCAGATGGACACTGTTTGGGTTTTCTTGCGCGAAGCGCCACAGCCTCTGCACCTGCGAGCGTGACGTCAGTCCGGCAAGCTGAGCGCTGAAGATTCGTTCGCTCGCCTCAGGACACGCCTCTTTTTACAAATCGCCACGCCCACTTTAGTAAGTCCTCTCGTGTTCTATTATGAACAACCGCGTAAGCCCTGTCAGTCAAACACACCAAGTCCAGCCCTCTCAGAGTGCTTTAACCCTTTCAGCAAAAACATTCGACTGGAAACAGTATCAATAATGGAAACAGCATTAACATGCATACAGCGTACACGTATAAAATCTACAAGCAATGAAAGTCGGGCTGGTTATTGGCTCTGGGCTATTTTTTCTTGTTTTAAAAAGCGTAAAGTAAAAAAAAAACAGTTACATTCTAAGTAATAGTCAAGAGAGTACGCTAACACATTGTTTATAACATCCGTTTTGAGAATTAGGTTAAAATAAATCTATTGTTAAAGTGGTAAACGAGAACATGTAGCCTGCATGTCCCTATTGTTGTCATTATGGGACAACTAGCCTCCTGAGCCGGTAGGAAACGATGCCTCACATGTTCCAGTAGTAATAAGATTAATTAAGGCTACATAAATATAGATTGTTCTAGGCTATTAAGAAACTGCTTACAGTTTAATAGGTGATTATAACTAGCATCCTATCAGACGGTTGTAGTTGCATTGGCTGCAGCTTATTTTAGTGAACTAAGCACAGGGTTCTCTTTTTAAATGTGTGTGTGTGTAAGTGAGAGAGAGAGAGAGAGAGAGAGAGAGAGAGAATACAACCAAATCTTTTTTAAGATGTGAGTAGTGACCTGGGTTCAGCTGTTGACATTTACAAACACAATGGGCTATATTAGATGCCTAGCTACAAAATGCTTAGTGTTTTTTCACTTTCCATTCTTTTGCATTATCACAAAGTCCAGGCAAAGTTCAGCAACAATAAACGTGAAACACCTCCGTGTTCCTATGTGTAATGATTGCTTAACTCTAACAGAACCAATAGAAACGTATAAATACTCAATGCATTGAGTGTTGAAATCTCGGGATTCTACTTAAAAAAAACATTTCCATTGTTAAAAGAAAACTGTTGTCTCATACAAAGAGATTTATGATATTATATATGTTTACATTGTTTTTATTGTTGGTAGCGCCCCAAATGACAATAATAAAACACATGGCTCATAACTATAATTCCTTGTCCTCGGTTTTGTTTGGTCCGTAAAGCAATGGATGAGGAGCGGAGTATTAATATTGAAAGCAGTAATTAACTCGACACCGCCACCTGCTGGTCACAAAGGCATTTTCACCGTCCTCCAAAATGCAAACCCACTCAACTTATCCTGCTGCTTAGTGCAACTTCATTCCAAATACATATTACTCCATTACACTGGTCGAGTTATTCATAAGTTACGAGAGTAAGGAATGGAAACTCTGACCCACTGGCAGTTCCTTGCCATTTAAGGACTGTAGACAACTCATTTTTTCTGGGAAAAACAAAAATTAATGCTAAATGCTAAGGTCAAAGACAGAACAAGAGGTACCAAATGCACAGGACAAATGAAAGTTTATATGTAGATTTATTTACAATATGTACAAACAATAAAAGTTATCATTCCACAGATAAGGTAACAGCATTCAAAGAGAGAACAAACCTTGCTCAGCACTTAGGACATCACAAATGAAAAATTGCACATAACCTTTAGCATCAGCTGTGAGTGGGTGCAATGACACCATGTTTATATGCTTGAACCACAGAATCTCATTGAAATACACTATGGATGTCATTTTTCCCCTGCATTTACCTCTGAAACTCCCAAAAATTCACAAACTGGTTTAGATGTTGTGTGGGTGAGCAAATAATAGTCCAGGAATGTTCTTTCAAATTAAGTCTGCTGGCACGTGGGTGGGCTGAACAGTGGACCAGTGGACGGTTTTCGCCATGTTAATTAACGCGGCAGGCACGGATCATCAGCAGCTGCAAGAGGATAAAGAGTGGGGAGATGATGAGGCCGAACAGCGGGTCCGGAGACTGCTCGTTTTCAGCCAGTTTCTGGCAGAGAAGAACCTCACACACCAGCTTGAGACTGAGCACAGTGAGGACCCAGAGCAGTCGCAGCACTGCCAGACGCTTCTCTCCTTCTTGGTACAGGCGGATGGACACAATGGCTGTGAAGTAGGTGCTGAGGCCATCGGCAGCAAACAGCGGTACAAATACCAGCCACCAGCTCATGCCTGTGTTCGGCATGTCCACACGGATGGCCACCAGCACGCTGAAGACCAGCAGTGCACCCAGGTGGAGGAACAGCTCGAAGGTGGCAAAGCCGAGCCATTGCACCAGCTCACGCAGGGAGAAAAGCATGTTCGATGGCACTCGTAGGCTTTTAGTCACTGATTTGAAGAGTCAAGCCAGCAGCCACAAGGTTTTCTGATTAAGAAAATACTGGCGAAGAGGAACAGCCAAACCACAGAAATTACCCGGGAGTCATGTGAGTTTTAAGATGGATTCTCCCTCTGAAGACTGGATCGCTATTTCGGTAACATTGTGAGCTTCTTGAGATAGCCCAGGTCTTTATAGCTCTATAGTCCCATTTTGCTTTTCACCACGCTGGAGATGACTAAAAGCCTATGAAGAAAAGACAGAAAACATTATAATAAAGACGACGAAATTAACACAATTTATCAAAACGGTGGAGCCCAAACATCTTGTCTGTCCACTCTTTACATTAAAGGGGCCAAAACTAACCTAACTAAAAAACTAAACTGCAAAAACAACCTGTTTTGAATTAATTGTTTTGTGATGTCACAAAAAACAATGCATTTACATATATCCTCCATTCAGACATAAGAAGTGTTGCAGCCCAACAAGCTTTTTAAATAATAAACACCGCAGAGCAGTTTACATTTACAGTTTATAATATATCAGTTTTAAAGGCACAATAACAAAATCAGTCTTCTACCTGTTTAAAAGAGAGTCTGGAAATAGTCGCGTTGCTAAAAAGTATGTTATTTAGATGGGAGCATAAACGAACCTCAGGGGGAAAATGTTGGCTATTGTAGGATATGGGCTCTTTAAAATTGGTCAGCCTGTCATTCAAATGGTTGAACCAGTTTCAACTAGTTCTGGTAGTGATAGTGGCCTTTATCGTGCAGTTCATATATTTTTCATCATAGCTAATGACACTGGTTCAGCTACTAGCTAACATGTCAGGCACTAACTTTCAAAAACCTTTTAGTGAGATAAGACTTCACGCTATCATTTGAAGATGAACAATTATGCACAATGTGAACATTAATTTATTAAGTTAACGGTGTATTTTATCTAGGTTTGCTGACAGTATCCTATTTTATTGATAATGCTGCGTTCATAGCTTAGCTGATGTGAATGCGTTTGAATCAATGACAAACCAGGCTAACATACGACGGCGTAAAGCTAACTAGGTTAGCCAATAATGACAACGTTAGAGACGTAAAGTAGCCTTACCTTATAGGTTCCAAAGTGACGGTTAGAGCTGAAAGCACAATGAAAACGCTACATTTTCGACAGAGTCTCGACTATACCAGAGGAATTAAAGAAAATATTCAATATAGCAAGCGGACTAGCTGTTACGTGCCGTCGCCGATGTCACCGCCGTGACGTGTGACGTCGTACGGTGGCCAGTTCAAGCCAAAATTCAGTCCACGCTGCGCTACTAGAAGAAAGTCAGCACTCATACTTGCAGGCGCTCACGTACTTGCAGCGGAGAATCCTTGCCCCAAAACCTTTAAGGACGAGATACTTCAGTAAGTTAGCTTGCATTCCAATTCTCATTTCTCACTGTCAGTTTTATTCTCTTTAATAGTAGTTTTAATTTAGAGTAAACGCGCTTTCTCTGTGTCATTTCAGGAAAACACCGCCAATTTAACGTTACCTTCGCTAGCTAACATTAGCTCATTGGCAAGTTACAACTATTTAGAAAGGTAACTCCGTCAAGTGCACATTTCAGAAAAGCCGTTTCTATTATTTAGTATTCACTCTTGAACAGCTGTTTGGATAGTTAGTGAATAGTCGACATGCGTGCTATCACTTATGTTGCTGTAACGTTACTGCTTTGACCCATATAAGCAGCGCGTGTCATTTTTGTCAGCATTCAGTAATGTATCCAGTGTTGTCAAATATTCGAGTACCCTAATGCTGTTTCCGCCTTTTTTGTGAATGTAAAAGAATAGCCGAGGAATTTTACCAGGCTTGCAGTCAGTATAGTGTGGTGAACTATGTCCGAGCATGAGTGAGCAATTGTTGTTTTGCTGTGGAATGTTTTCTTAAAGGAAATTAATCATGCATTCTTGCCCATGGACAGTGTCTGGCAGAAACTAAACAAGCTGATCATCTTGGTCTTGGAATTGGTTTTGCCCATGAAACAATTATAAAGAACAATTTAAATCGGATTCCACCAACTTAGCAAGAAATATTTAATATTTTACAGATTTAACACTATTTAGTGATCTTAAAACATGGGTCATGGTTGTGGGCATAAGTGTCATTTATGCTGGGGAAGCTAGGAACCTGTTAGGGACACCCAAAATTCTGGGTGTAAGTCTTTGGTGTCATTGGACTGTTGATGTAGACTCCCTGCCATGAGGAAGTCTGGTGACAAAGTCCTTGTTAACAAAGAGCAGAGTGTCAGTGAGCGACTGTGCTCCTTTGTTATCTTCAGGAAAATGACGCAGCCGGCTGATTCGATCCTGCACAGCGGATACTTCCACCCAACTCTACGAAACTGGCAAACATGCGCCTCTGACTTGCGGCCGGACAACCTCATCTACCCCATTTTCATCACGTAATAGATTCTGTCCTTAATGTATTTGCAAAAGTGGAGTTTTCAAAAACAAGCTTAGCTGGAGATTTACACCCATTTTTATTGTTTTTTTATGTGTTTTAGTTCTGTTATTAAGTATCAGACAGGTTAAACGACTAACATAAGCAAATATGTGATATATGCTTCCTTCTTACATGTTACTGATTCATATGTCATGTGAATTCCTTTGTGTTGAATCAGTGTTGTCTTTTTACCCAGTGACAGCCCTGATGCAGTGGAACCTATTGCAAGTTTACCTGGTCAAGCAAGGTAGTCACCTGTGCCTTCGTGCACCTTTGTGACACATTTGGCAGTTTAATGTTTATGTGCAAAAGCTGCTCTATGGTGCAGTGTTGGAACATCACAGAGTCCTTGCCTGTTTCCTGCTTTTCTCGCTTTAAAGCATTGATGTAGCTACTGGCAGAAGGGGAGTTGGTGGGGACAGGGCCACCCAAATACCTTTATTAGGCCTTTGTTTCACTACTTGTGCAACTACACACCCGTGAGTCAAATATAGTCATTGCAACAAACCATTAGGCTATGTTAGCAAGCCAACTTGTTTGAGACATAACAATAGTAAGCAAACATGCAAATTGCATTGTCCTTTTTTATTTATCTAAGATAATTTTCATAAAAGGGGGTTGGGGCTTCATTCATGTGTTCATTCATTCATTCATTTTTTCATTTTGTGCTTGGGCACATAAGATTCTAGTTATGCCACTGCGTTAAGGAAGGTGCTGGTGAATACTTTTGATAGTGCTGGCCAAGAAATTTTGCAGGATAACAAAAATGGATGTGTAGTTCATAAACAGGGCAACTAAAAATGACTAAAAAAAATATCACTAGAATTTCCAATGATGGTCAAGGGTCACACATGGAACATTGGACATTTAAAAGTATGTTGAATGCACAAAAGATATAAAGGTTGAATGTTCGTGTGGCTAGACTGGGGAGCCTAGATAAGCTCTGGACTGGGTGGATCCAGTGCCAACCCTTCTGAAACAAAGATAAAATGAGATTCGGTTTGTTCTTCATTTGAAAGTACCCGCCTTGTTTAGCATCATCCCCATTTCAGCGGTATAGTGTGTTCTATAACAGGTCAAAAATTCAGGTCAGTTGGGGACTTGAATACTGCCTGTGCTTATAGTGCTGTATTCAGGAATCGTCCTTGATTAGCGTGATGAATCAAAATTTGATTCATATGAAAGTATGGCCAGAGTGTCACTGGTGAACTGTTCAGTTTAATTCAGTTCAATTTTATAAAGCATTTTAGAACAGACAGTCGACCTTATTCACCTAATTGGAATACATAAAAATCTCATTGTAAAATGAGCGTATGCAAACTTCACTAAGAGTTTTTCAGAGTTCAATTCATCAATTACATTTTATGTGTTCAATCAAGCTCACATCTGAGTGCATATACACTACCGTTAAAAAGCTTTTTAGATGTTTTATTAAATGTCTCAAAAATTCTGTGAATGGCAAAGTTATTAAATTCTAAATAATAAACTGTAATTATCTATGTATTGTTTTTGTCAAGTTATCTGCCGTGAGATCCGATCTTAACTTCTGAAATATGAAGAATTCAGGATATTAATGTTATTATAACTTAATTTTCAATGCTATACAGCTTTCTCAGTCATTTTAGAATCTTCTCCACCATACCCTTTATCATTCTGGACACTTAATACTTTTTTTTCATTTACAGCTTCCTAGTGTCTTACTAGTTATTTGAAAGCCATGAAATTGCACCAGACTAACATATTAGAATCATTTTATAATGAGTAACGTGATTTTATGTTATTTAAAATGTTTTGCAGTAGTGTAAATTTGAGAGTTATATTTTAAGAACCTGAACAATGTTTGATTTATGGTTAAATGAACAATATAATCAGTAAAAGTACATAATATCATTTAAAATAGACAATACCAAAGATGATAATGATACTTGGGCACATGGGAATCCTTGTATAAAACAGCAAGTGATTGAGTTTGCTACTGTGAATGTGAAATATGTAAATGTGAATCAGAATGTGAAGAATTGGATCTTCATTAGATCATATAAGTATAAGTAAGTCATAGAACAGGGTTTCTCAAGCTTTTTTCACCCCAAGGCCCACCTGTGTATAACTACAAAGCATAGCGGTACACGGGAAAACTTTATTTTTCTTTCCTTAAATGCTGACACTGAAAACCTGAGAATTAGGGCCTGAAAAAGATCCAATCTACGTTTGCAAAATTTGCAGATATTTTGAAAAAAATAGAACGACAACAACATGGTTGTAGAGATGCTAAAAAAGGGGGGAAAGAAGAAAAAACAGAAATGTATGAGGTAGATGTGGACTGTGATTTTGAGCTGCAGTTCATCCTGTTTTCACTGAAAATACTCCACTGGCTTTGCCAAAAGAGTAATTTAAAGTCTCTAGTTTTGAGGGTTTTTGTGATTCATTTGAAATAAACCACACTCCACTGACTGGGCTTTTGGATTTGCATCGTCACAATTAAGAATAGTGAAAAATCATACATGATATCTGCTTCTTTGTCATCGCTGATGCTCGGTCGTATATACGCTTTGCAGTCCGTGAGTTGAATCAAACGCGTCTCTTCACTATTATTTTATGTCTTATTTTATGTCACTATTATTTGATTTTAACAGCAGCTCGTGCTGAGAGTCTGTAAGGAGTCAGTCATTAAAAGAGTCATTATGCTGACTGTATGGCGCCAACGTGCCTCTAGAAGAGAAGAAAAGCCAGCTCTGTTGAGGCATTCCCTCATTTGATCACAGAGCATGTTTCCATCAGCAGTGAACTGAACAGGGTTTGTTTGAAGCAGACCGAGACCCGTGGTTTCTGCTAGACCAATTCAGTTGTTTGCTGCAGACCCAAATACAAGTGAAGTGTTCACACGTGTCAAAATGGAGCAAAGAAAAAGGTGTTCCCTGAGAAACTTCTCCATCTTTGGCTCGCTGTCTGCATCACACGCCTGCAGCTGTGTTGTCTCAAACAGATGACGTTTAAATAGGCCACTACTGCAAAGTTTTTATTTATATGTCTCTATTAGCATTTATATTGGTTATAATGTGAAAACATTTAGTTTATAGATTTTTAATTATTAAGTAAATCTTTTTCCCACTTATGTTTTTATGATCTACGGCAACGTTGCCGGCCCACTACAAATTACTGCCTCCCTAACCACTAGAAGGTGCTTCACGGCCTACTGGTGGTCCGCGGCCCACAGGTTGAGAAACCCTGTCCTAGAAGACATCACTGACACTGACCTGACTAGTATTGTTGCGTTTTAAAGGGCTTATATCATTAAAAAACAAAAACTTGCTATTATAAAATCATTTGATGTAATATGTAAACACTGTTAAACACACTGTTAACTTATAAAGTGTAATATTCACTTCCCAGTCCGTATATGGAAACTAAGTTGCAAAAATCATCCACCTATTCAGCGTACAGCAGTTTAGCTCTACCCATTCACAATTATGTTCTAAAACCCAAATTGCTTTTTGTGAATGATGCACAAGGCAAGGACCGCCAATCGGCTGCAGTGGTCATTTACAACTACCAGTCTTAAAGACTTAATGAAACAAACAGCTGGTTTAAATCTAAAGGATATTGACAAGTTGGCAAAAAGTAATGTAAAAAAGAATTACAACTGTTTTGGTAAATAAAGCATCCAGGAGAAAATTAAAAGAAGAATTAAGACATGAGCTATTTAAGACGTACTGCACTATGATTTTGCTTCATACTGTCTAAGGGCATAAGGAGGAACACTGAGAGGAATCAAAACTCTAAAGAGGAACCCATCCACTTCTAGTGAACACT